CGCTTCTCTTCTAGGCTCCAATTGCGGAACTTGGCTAGAATATTTTGGCATCCTTTAATGAAGTACTGTCGTGCGGGTTCATACTCCTTCTTCTTGGCATCTATAATGCTGTTCACGCCCAAGACCCTCAGCCAGTCATGGCCGAGGAGACTGTCAAGAAGGCGCACAATCTGGTCTCTTTCATGTTGCGCGCGTCCCTTTTCTGTATTGCGAATGGAGCGCTCGACTCTCTCCGCACGCTTATGTGCGGGTTCAAATAAGCTGTCCGCTAATGGGTCATCCAATGTCTTGTTGTTAATGTCGTGAGCCACCAGAAACCCAAAGTCGATGCGCTGCGTATCGAAAAGGTCTGTGTATAGGGCGTCACCATATCCTCGGACGGGTGTTTTTTCTGTGGGCTCTGTTGTCGGAAAATGCGACTGTTGTGGCACAGCGCTCTGCGGTGGTTGTTGGTCAATCGAGTCAATGACGACAATCGGCGTGTCGACGTTGAGAAGATCTAAGAAACGCAATCACATCAGCCCATATGTACACGAAATGATGGAGAAAAGGAGTGCGACGCGAAGCAGGGTGGAATAGCACATTTAACTGGTACGTACGTTGTTCTTTGGCCTCGTTTCCCATCACCTCGTCATATTCGGGGAAATAGGCCGATAGTTCGCTCTTGAACCGCCGCGCAGCCTCCTGCGACCGAAGCTTGCGACCTGTTTCCTTGGTGTCCGCCGGTTGGCTCTGCAGGCGATCGAGCTCATGCTTAATGCCATTGGTCACCTTGGACTGGTGTTTGGTGAGGTTCTGTTCTGTTGTCGCGGCATGTGGTGTCGGGGCGGGTTGAGCAGGGGCGTCTTGCGTAGGCCCTCTGGCACCGACCGCGCCACCGGTCAGCAGATCAGCTGGGGCATGGTTGCCCGCCAGGTCGTCATGGCTCGAGATCGCGGGATGCTTCGGAGGGAGAATCTCGAGGGATATTCGCGTTTTCTTGGGTATGATCGTGTCGAAGTCGTTCACGTCCAGGTGTCGCTTGGTGCGACCGCCGCCGCCTCCGCCGTGAACGTTGGCGTTGGGGGCATGCTGGAGGAACGCTGTGCGGGCTCGCATCGAGGACGTGTTCTCCTTCTGGAAAGAATATTTACGGCTGTCTGCTCGCCTACTGGAGCGAGTGACGGAGGCCATGGGCAGCCGTGGAAATGCCTGACATCGTCTTCTCGATCGTCATCGGGCAGTTTCTGATAACTTGGGACGCGATTCTGATAGAAAACCTTGTTGATTGCGGTCCGAAGCGATGATTTTGGTGCCACCACGAATGCGATTGCTATTTTGGAGGGCCCCTTTAGTGGTGTACGCGCTGTATTCAGCGGCCTAGAGCCTGGAAGTCTGAGAGCCATCCGCACGCCAAGGAGGTCCCTCAAAGTGCCTACCCTAGACCGTCTCCCATGTCAGCCCAGACTCCGAATCTCATCAACAGTGTCTATAACTGTGCTGCCAACGAAGCGTAAGAAACAGGTCTCTTATGTGAAGCATGATATTCCGGGAATTTACTGATGTTAGTTTGTTTGTTTCCAAGGCTAGCTATAGAGCTTTGCCTCCAAACTCTTGTTACGCGATAGTACAGTGCTCGTCATTTGCGGGGTCGAATAGCATATTACGTTCTTGACAACAACCTACAATACTTAACAACCAGGCACCTACTTATTTCCTTTTTTTTTCTCGACTACAGCACCACTACCGCCTTGGCTGCATCTGATGATTACATGCTTTCAAAAGTGGCGCGCTATCAGCTGGTAGGACAAAAGCCACAATAAGAGTGTAGGGCCTAGACTCTCAGCGTATACCATCATGTATGAAAACGGAATTTGGCATGCATAGGAATGCGCCTAACTGCGAGACAGAGCCAATTGAGAAAGGATGAGAAATGATCTATTCATGATTTATGCAGAGCCCAATGCCAATTCTTGGCTTGATGCATCTTCTAACAGAAAGAAAGATCCATGGAGAACATTAACAACTAAAATGCATAACGTGTATCGGTAACATGTGCTGGGTATTCGTTAGTCGGCCGTTCAAAGCGTAAAATCTCATGCCTCTGGAGGTCATGTCATTGCCTGGCCATCACCGCCCCGTCCGTCCCCTCTATCTCAGCTGCTTGGGACACTTGGCCTGATTTTCAACTTCCTCATCGCCTTGACTGCTGCCTTGTTCTCATGCTTCTCCGCCTCCTCCTCCTGTACCACCTCCCTCTCCCTCTGCGCACTTTGGCTCGTGTCCTTGGCTTTCTCCTCTCGCTGATGTGCTACTTCCGGTGCCACTACTTTGTCTTTGCGATGCATCATATCCTGGATGAGCTTCTTGCTCTTCTTCCTCGTGTTGACGTACACCTCCAAACCTACGAGGACGGCGTAGGCCTTTGATATAGACACATGGCTCATGTCCACACCCGCTTCCTTTAGACTCCTGACGAACGCGCGGAAGTTGCTGGTGGGTGGGCGATAGTGACCGCTGAGTGGTGAAAGAGAAGAGATGCGTCCGTTTTTTATCTTGATGAGGCCAGCCGCGGAAATTCGACTACCTTGAAGGAATGACGAGTGCTGGAATGCTCCAGATGCTTTGATGCCAACGTAGAGCCGGAACGAAGTGTCCGCTACGAAGATCCACGTGCCATCCCGGACAGACTTGCGTAGCATCTTGTTCCATATGGTTGAAGCAGAGAAGTGTGTGATCTTCTTCATCGGGGGCTGCTGGTCAAAATCGGGGTCGTTGTACTTGGCGGCTCGGTCAGCCTCGCGCCGCGACTCGAGCGAAGAGAGGGAGCTACTGCGGCTCCGAATGCTCGACATGGATGAAGAGAGGCGTGGCACAACTTCGGGGTTGAAGGCTGGCGTGGGGTCGTCAGCAGGGACGATGCCGTGGATGCTGTCCTTGAATTTCTCAGTCGTGTCAATCCGGACGCCATTCTTGGCCCATCTGAGCCTCCCCTCGTCGTCAACCTTGACCAGGTAATATTGGCGCTCCTCCCGAGACAAGTACCGCACCTTCTCCCGCTCTAGTCTATCTCTTGGACACGAGTCGAGCTCGATGTTCTTCCCCTCGCCGATGTCCAGCCAGTAGAAGAAGTTTTCAGTTGTGTTTGATCTTAGCCATTCAGAATGGTATGTCCGCAAATTACTTCCGTACCGATGCTTGACATCAACCATTTCCAGGAAGTATTGCAGGCCCATCATCTGGGCTTGAGTGCGCCGACCAGCGAGTAACTTGTCCCGGAGCTTCCGGATGCGGTCCTTCTCCTCCGGCGACTCATCATCTGAGCTCGCCGATGATACGGACGATATGTCAGACTCCACGTCGTCGTGACCGGCTCGCCGAGCCACTATGCTTGCCTTCTTCCAGTTTCGCCTGGCATTAGACATGACCGGCCCGCTCGAGCCTTCTTCCTGCCCGGTGGACGACCCTGCCGTGTCACTCCTTGCTCTCGGCGTCGTATACTGACGAAACTCAGCCTCCCGGATCGCACTCATCCATCTTGAGCTAGCATCGAGGCTGTAGCCTTCCATCTCTCTCCTGGTTCGGTGGCCACGGAATGTCTTTTGAATCAGTCGGGCGGCCCGTTCCCGTTCCTTGTTGTCTTGGCCGTCATGGCTTGCGGATCGGCTCCGTTCCTTGTTTAACAGGGTCAACTGGCGTCTATATTCTCTATCCCTCTGCCGAATTTCTTGCTCCTTTTGCTCCTGGATGCGAGCGATGTGCTCGAATTGCTCCCTGGACGGAGGGACGAGCGAATCCATGTATGCCTGCGATTTTTTGGTCCAAGATGTTGATGTGACGTCAGTGTCGGCAGAGAACAGGGAGATCTTGGAATCCGACCTCCGGGCGTGATGGAACGGTGGGGTGGTAGTATTAGGGCCAATTGGCCCGTTGGGTTGGAGAAATTTAGACGTATAGGCCATCTTGACACTCGGTCATGTGTCATCGAGACAGACAGGTGACGGCGTGGTGATTACACGTGGGATGTTGGATGGATCAAGAGCCTCTTCTTTTACTTATGCGGACTGCACGCAGAGGACCAGGGGGGCTTTTTGTCATTGTCATTCACATCTTGAAATAAGACGAAGAAAGGATATGCCGTGCTTATGGATTAGAGAATGATTGAAGGGCCGAAAGGTCACACACATGAGCCATACTTAAGGGAATACCAAGAAAACATGAGGTAGACATACGCGTACGCCAAGAGCCGGATTGGCGAGTGCGTAAAACATAATCACAGCCACCCAATAACGGCCAAGAAAAGTACTCCATCTGGAAGGGATTAGGATACATGCACGCTCACTTGTTTCAGTGTGTCTTCGCATGTTCGGCACCATGGATGAGTCTCGGCAATGTTAGCGTGGGGAGGCGCATGACGTGGAACCGGGCCGTGCTGGTATGTTAATACTTGGCGAGCGAGGGCGGTTATAGGGATCTCCAGGAGCCGCAAGGCGTTTTCCTCGCGATATTTGGGCCGATCGGCTGGCCTTGTAAGCTCAGGTCTGTGCTGAGCCACACTTGATGAGGCTTCTCCCTTGTTTTCTGGAATTTGGACTGTGAAGAGCATGATTGGCTGCATACCTGAATTTGACTCATAAATGAAAACGCTCATCTCATATCCAGAACATCATTATCATTAATATTTAGAGTCCCTGGCCGATCTAAAGAATGCTCCGCCAGCTGGAATTATACATTGAGGCTATGTCGTGACGGTGACTAGCCACCTTTTTATGTGCGATTTGTCCAAGTAACTGTGTAGGCATGTACGTTGGTAAAATGAAGAGTCTGTCCATCATCTGCAGGCCGTATGGCTCATCTGTCCGTAGCGTAACGGGCAAGGCTGCGACATGGTTATTTAAACAAGAAGTTCTTGAGGACCGGCGACCCGGAGAACTCTGGGTTCAATAATATACAGCTGAGTGGCAGGAATGTCAGCAAATGCGAATAAATAAGAGAGCGAAAAGTGACGAGAAGCAATTTGCCTACTTGAGAAAGTACTGGAGCCCTGCCCTCCGCTTTTCTAGGAACTTCGGCCTGAATTTGGAGATGACGCTCTTTGGGGGGAGCGGCGGTACCGCCGCCTCAAAGTTTGGAAACGAGAGGACAAGTTGACTGCGGAAGTCGTCGAACTCTGAGTATCGTTTGCGTATGTTCATATAGCTACCCTGTATTTTCGTGTTATCAGTATTTTAACCTTGGGGCTGCCTGGTCTACTTTAGGGCGACATACGGTAAGAGTTTCGACCTTTATGATCCAAACAACAAAGGCGCCAATGTTTGTGGTACTGCCATTCACTATAATATGGTCGATGATTTCCACGCTCCGCGCCCAGCATGCGTTGTTTCGATCGTCGTCTAGACTGTTTTCGTTGTCCTGTAGCGTAATGGCGCCTGCGGGAATGGACTCGACCGATACATTGGAGCGGGATCGCTGATGGATATTCGAATTGATCCAGTACGGCGGGGTCGTTGGGGAAAGTGTCGTAGACGTTGCCGGGCTCAGTAATTCCGAGTGCTCCCCATGTGTTGAGTTTGCGTGCTCAGATGTCCCTGTCGAGGTTGAGCCATGAACCGCTTGCGCATTCGAGGATTTTGGCGCAGCGCGGAGCCTGGGTACAGGAGCACCGTTGGAACGGCCGTTCACAAGGGGATCGCGCTCTACTGCCAATGCCATTCGGCTGGGCGATTCTGCAGGCGCATGCGCTTTTCGGTTGGGCGGAGTCCTTCTTGAAGCTTCTGAATTTCCTTTGTTGATGATAATGTCGCAAGAATCGGATACGGTACTGAGCGTATAGGATAGTGTTCTGATAGTCCCAAATATGTTCGATCTCGTCGCGATAAGCTCTGGAGCAAGTATGATGCCGATGGGTATTGTACAATATCAATTTCGATTCGTGCAAGGAGAGGGCTTGCCGGATAAGGATATTGCTTAGGTAGAGGGTGGTGATCAATCCATGATATGAGGATTGAAGTTCAGACCACCGACGATTTGCCAGTCCCGTCGGGTTACATTGGAGCCATTGAACCAGGACGAATTTTAGGTGCTGAGTTCAGTGGCTGCTCTAGTGTGAACAGTGGGGTCGGGGCCAACATTCCAACAACGGCGCAGTGGGACACCTTCCGTATCAGCAATTCATACTTTTTATCTACACCCATTCATTGGATGGACGCTTGATGCTTGATCTATGCATCAACGGCTGTATCCCGCAGCGAAGAGGCCAATCAAAACGACCGCGTTGGAGGGCCGCATATCCAGCGCATAGCAAAGCAATGTGTTGTCATCTGCTGCTTGTTTTGGGCAACTAGGGAGACAGGCCAAGGATGCCAAGTCTGGCAAGCACAGATGGGTTCCTTAAAGGGCCAAGGAAATGGGAGGGTGAAAGACGAAGTCCGTAGGTTCCGGGAATACCCCAGATAAGACTTTGAGTGGGAAGCCTGTGCATTCGACTGTTCGCCCTGTGCGAGGAACCTCGTTGTTTTTTCACATTGGGCGGGTTATCTGACGGACAGGCTGGCTCACCTGTTCTTGCGGCAGCCGGGCTCTTGGCTGTTTTGCCCCCCTCCCGTTAAGGTGACATCCGGAGATTTTCTCAGACAATCCTCCGGGATTCCCAATTGCCTCAGGCCAGTTCTCCTGTTTGCGATCGTTAGAGAATGTTATGGGCGAGCCTGCCACAATCACTCCTCGTGTTTTAATCCGGAGAACCAAACGTTGAGGCTGTGGGGAGGAGCATTACGATGTTGTTGTGAGAAGCCAAGCAATTACATGCGCCTTTAGCGCACTTAGCGGAGTCGCCCAGAGCTCCAGCTCCACCTTCGCAAGGCAAGTCGGCAGGAGCTCAGAGCAACACGATTGTCTTGTGACACCTTATCGGGCGAGATGCTACCCCAAGGTGGGAGAACGATCAGAAGGCGACACAGAATACGAGGGGCCGGACAGCAGTCCGTTTGTCCGTTGAACAAAGTGCTTGCTACTGGCTCCCTCACTTGCCTATTCCCACATAGAAGCCGGGGGGTTGGATGTTGGATGTCTCGTATATGTATCCCGTAGCTGGGTTTATGCTTGGGCTTGGTGGTCAGAAACCAAACACAGATTGGTGCAGTCTTAGACATTCCAAGCTGGCAGTTGAGACAACAACACAAACATGTGCTAGCTTAATTGTGCATGTAGCATACACAGCTCTGCCATTGCAGGCATTTAGTCAGTAAATTACCCCCCCTGAGTAGGCGGCAAAGAGAACTGGGTTCTTGATTGCAGCTGAGTGGTGAGGCCGTTGACTACTCCACTGAGGCACCTGCGGTAGTGATGCACATTAGCATTTGCACTACTCGTGCAAATGCACGGACTAGCGATTCTCACAGATTAACATTGGCTTGCCATTGGAAGCCAAGATCTACGCTGGCTAGGGCAAGCCACGGACATATGGCACAAGCTTAGATGTGAGAACGGAAACAGAACAGCGTCCTTTGTTCTGCTTTAATAAAGTTCGACAGAGATCTACTTTGATCGACCAACCTCCCATTTCATGCCGGCCGGGGTTTTGGGTTCGGGTGGTCCAGAGGTCCAGGCCAGAGGAGGATTCCTGTGGTTTCTTAAGCTTCTCCCGTAGTTGAGGCCGATGCCGTCCGGCTGCCGCCACCGCCTCTGCAATAAAACCCAATTATTGTGCACGGATATGAGAGGCGGATGAAAAAATGACTGCCAGGCACTTATCTTCCTTAGCTTCAGGTGGTGAGAGCACCTGGTGGCCCACGTCAGTATGATCCCTGCCCCCCGGACCTGGAGGCCGGCGCGACCCGCTTCCTTAATAAGGTAGGTTGCTCCCTCGAGCAGAATCCCCCCATTTCCATCAGCCTGGTTCAATTTCTCCCTTTCGACTTGCCCACTCGACTACTAATACCTTACTCTCGTTGCATTCACTCGCTGGCCTCCGCTCTTCAACCCGAGCCGAGCTACATATTTGCTTCTTTTCCTTTCGTTTATTCTCTTTACCCTCGTTGACCGGCCATAAGATAGCTGTCTACTCTGCAACTTGATGTAAGTCCTGAAGCTGGAGCTGACATTTCAGCCGGCCAATATTGACATCTTAGACTGACGCTGACCGATGTGGAATGCAGTTACAGCTTCAACAACTCTATATCCTTTAATAATCTCGTCACGCATCACCGCAATCATGATCTTCGGAACCTTCGTCCTTGCCCTGGCCACATCTTTCGCCGCTGTCGTCAAAGCCGATTACTATATCGACCCCGAATCTGTCCCTCTGGCCACACGAGGTGGGTGTTATTTATCTCGAAGCTTGTTGGGATTGAACTGACGAATTGAAAAGAGTATTGGTGCACACAGTCCATGACCTCCTGCCCCTTCCTGTGTGAACAGACAAAGCCAGGCACCACCAAGATCAACACGTGTGATCCCGTAAGTTGGCCGTCAATCCTAATGGATGTACCATTGACTGACACGTCCTGTTTGAAGGAAACCCTCCAATACGGTTGTCTATGCGGCGACAACAAGCAGCCCAATGTCTCCGAATACAGCTTGACCATTCCCTACTTCGTTTGCCAGGAATGGGGCACCCAGTGCGTTGCTAAGTGCACGACAAACACCTGCAAGGCAGCATGCCGTGAGGAACACCCTTGTGGCGCTCTCGATCCTACGCCTGCCAACTTGACTTCCTCCACCACCACCACGGCTTCGGCGACTGCCAGCTCTACTACCAACGCCAATCAAATCTACGGCTCCCCCAGCAACTCCAAAGATAAGGGCGCCGCGTCGGCTCTTACCCTTGGGAGCCGATACGGTCTCGGCGTCGTCCTTGGATCCTTCTTTTTGGGATTTGCTCTTCTATAAAAGCAACACAGTCACATCGGAATTTTGTTTGCATCATTTTGGGTTACAACATTTGATGGGTTGAGCGTTCTCGTTTTCGTATAATCTCATTTTGCACACTGGTTTTTGGGTGAGTCTTTCGAGGAGGTAATAATGTAATGGAAAATGAAGACTAGTTTGTGCAGCTTGTTTGGCATAGGGTTCTCGAGGAATTTGGGATCTTTGCCTGCAGTATCCAATGCGACAGCGAATCGACCTGAGCTAGTGCTCGGCGGGAAATTGACAGAAACTTGTGCCTGACTTGGGTCTCTTAGTGTGGACGCGATTCAATACGTGGCTGCTAGACTTGCTGCTAGCCCGTCACCGCATACATGCCTGAATTTGCTTTGCACATCGGCTGTGAGCATGGTGAAGCAGCCAAAAAAAGAAATTTGCCGTTGTTTGTTGATTTGATACCCGCTACCACCTCAACCTTCAAATTTACTAAGCAAGGAATGTGAGGTCCAGTGTGGGTAGCGTTTAGAGCCCCTTCAGCCTCGGGAAATCCTCACCGTCACATGTACTCCCTAATTTTGAATTAAGATATAGGGGGCGTAGGACCAATGGTCCAATCCAAGAGCTTGCCGAGTACCACATAGTGATGGAGGGGTGGCAATTGGAGACTGGGTCCCTCACGAACTGACCAGTCCCCTGCCCTGCCTTGCCCAGTAAGGAGAGCTATTCTCCACACCATAGCCTGCTTCGGGATGAACAGCGCCGCTCACGACTCAAAGGTCCTTCCATGGAAAATGTACGTAGCTCCTCCTTAAACGGCGACAGAGCCCCGCTATCCATGGTCGATTTTCTTTTCGTTCATGACTTCCTCAGCAGCTGGCCGAACAGGTCTTCTCGACGCTGAACCGATATTGACGATGGCTCCCAACACGAGTAGGTCGCAGCTCAGCCGCGCCCCATGGATAAATTGGAAGCCGCCGACGAGGTGGCTTTACTGACATGTGCGCTTAGAGAACGCCGTTGCCGAGTGCATCTCGGACGATGCACTGCTCCATCTTCGCTCGTACAAATACTCGGCCGTCGACAAATCTCCCGTTTCCAAGTACATCCTCGGTCCCTGGGTACGCCGATCCATGCCTGTCGTCAAGTCGCCTCGATTTCAATACTAACCTGCCGAAGTGGAATGCCTTCGTTAAGATCCTGCCCCTATGGCTGGCACCGAACATGGTCACCCTACTCGGGTTTTGTTTCATTCTGGCCAATATCGGACTTCTCCTGATCTATATGCCGGATTTAGTTGGACCGGTAGGCTTCTTGGGAAGGCTTGAGGCTCCAGGGCACCTCTGCTAATCCATCTCTAGGGCCCGAGTTGGCTATACTTCAGTTTCGCATTCGGCCTTTTCATGTACCAAACCATGGACAATGTCGACGGCAAGCAAGCGCGCAGAACTGGTACTTCGAGCGGTCTGGGCGAACTCTTTGACCACGGAATAGACTCTCTGAACTGCACTTTGGGCAGTCTTTTGGAAACTGCTGCCATGGGTCTCGGAACCTCTAAAGCCGGCGTCTACACCGCTCTCTGCCCGTGTCTCGCCATGTTCTTCTCCACATGGGAAACATATCACACACACACGCTCTATCTTGGATGGTTCAATGGCCCTACGGAGGGCATCCTTGTCGCCTGCGCCGTCATGGCTATTTCTGGAATTTACGGCCCTGATATATGGTCGAAACCCATCGCTGGTCTTTTCGGAAGCCAGCTGCCCCAGGTGGCTGAGGCCATCGGCAACACATCCGTGCTCGATATCTGGATTCCTTTTATCGCTGGGTCTTTGATCGTTGGCCATATACCTTTCTGTGTCTACAATGTTGCACGGGCACGCCGCGCGAATGGCTTGCCAGTCGCCCCCGTCTTCCTTGAGTGGATTCCCATGGCTGTTTATACGCTCGCCATCGGCTTCTGGGTTTACTCGCCCCATAGCACCTTGATGGAGGAGAACCATCTTGTTTTATTTTGTCTCACATTGTCATTCGTCTTCGGACGGATGACCACGAAGATGATTCTCGCTCACCTTACACGCCAGCCGTTCCCTTACTGGACTGTCATGCTGGTTCCGCTTATTGGCGGCGCTATTCTAGGCAACCTGCCCGTGTTTGGGTTCCCCAAGGTCACACCGCACGTCGAGCTTTACTACCTGCAGTGTTATTTCATTTTTGCCATGGTGGCATATTTCCGATGGGCATACCTTGTTGTTAATGCCATTTGCAACTTCCTTGGTATCAATGCTTTGACGATTCCCAAGGAGAAGCAGATAGCGAACAAGAAGGCTCTCGAGGCTGCAAACAAGGCGCATTGAGAATGCTCTGGATTACAGGGCGACGAAGTAGCACAGCAGGCGGGACTCTGTTGGATCGCTGTACTCTTTATAAACTTCATTTGGAAGAGTTCACTGGAGGTTTTGGACCGACTTAAAAACCTCGTGGGCTCTTGACGCAACTTAAACTAATCATCTTTATTCTATAGACGGACGGAGCGGCTTTTCAATTTGGTCATTGTGGACGAAAGTTATGTAAAATGGATAACGTTGGCTCGAATGTAAGCCAGGCAGGAATAGAGATGGGACGATTTGATGTCAGACTTAGAGTTTGTTCTTCTTATAATTTATTCTTAACGGCAACCATGTCATGATGGGATGATGCGTTTAAGCTGAAATTTAATCAATCAACTTTTTTGTCAGTATCTTGTATAAAATCTCACTAATGTGACTCAAATCATCCATGCTTTAGTGCGTATCGTGTTGGTAATTCTAGCACTCACATCTTTGAGATGGGTCGCTAGGTGTAGAGCACAGAACTTCATTACTATAATTCCAATCTCCCACCATTTCTCTAATTTCCATGCAAACGAATAGGAACGGTCATCTGTGAACTTAAAAGTGGCGAGGAAGCTCTATGCAGTTTGCCATACGATAATGGTTAGGGTATCTTTGGTGAATTGTGTTAGTGTATGATGGAAACCATAAGGATTGGCCGTGGCTCATTTAGGCTGGACGCTCAAATCGGCTGCCGAAGTAGCAGTTAAGGTATCAAACAATAGCATCGGTAAGCCGTGTCCTTGATTGCCTAGTTCGTTTTGACACAAATCTAGATGCACATTTGTCTGGTCCATTCGTCTCAGAATACTCAAATGATATGCTATGATTCGCTGCGGCAGGTGGACGATCAACGCAAGGGATCATCCCTTCGTAGGCTTAGGACTTCACAAGTTAACATGTCCACTAAGAAATGATTTCTCAGCAGGGCATCAATCTAAACAGTTGGGGACGGATTCAGACTATTCGTTGTTCCCTTATATTGGCTATTATATTGTATTGGCATTGATAGCTGAGGGGGGAAATATTGATGATACTGAACAATGATCAGCATCAATGATAATAATATCTTAGGACTTGCTCCTGTCTTGAAACGTTTCACCTATCGGGATTCGAGTAGAGAGTGCCTGTAACGGCAGGTAGATCCACATTTAGCAGCCAGTACCTTTAGGTTCCGAAGCCTAAAACCAGGGTCGCAGCTTGCCAAGCTTGATGAATTGGTTAGTGCGTAAGGGACCAGATGGCCACATCCCACCACCATTCCTTTAAGCCTCCCTGCTGTCCCGTTGCAACTGGACCAATCGCCACGCCTCTCCTCGGGACAGTTTTTCGAACACAAGCTGGTCGTTGGACCGCTAGATCTCGCATCCTCAGCGCGTCGCTGCGAGATGGTTTCCGCCTAGCCGAATCGCCCACCATGAATCTGCCAACATCATGGCTGATGCTTACAGCATGGCTGCTTGCGCTGGTCGAATGCGCAGCCTCATCCTTTGCGACGCTTACTGACGAGGACCTACGGAACATACCTTCGCCCGGCGACGATTTCGATATTCATAATGGCAAGCTGCTGGCTCCCATCCTGATCCCCCGCGTGCCGGACACAGAAGGATCTCGCAAGGTCCAACGGCACTTTGTCGACTTCTTCCGAGACAGCCTGCCAGAGTGGCAGATAATTTCGCAAAACTCGACCTTCAAGACTCCTGTTTCGGGCGACAAAGAAGTTCCATTTACCAACTGGATTTTTAGGCGAGATCCGCCCTGGGCGAACGTGGGTGATGTCGGCCGGCTCACTCTTGTTGCACACTACGACAGCCTTTCCACCTTGGATGGCTTCATCGGCGCCATTGACAGTGCCGCGCCATGTGCCATGCTTTTGCACGTTGCCAGGAGTCTTGATGAGGCTTTGACTTCCAAGTGGAAGTCCATGCAGGACAGCGGCGAGGACGGTCTTGAGGAGCCGAAGGGCGTCCAGATTCTACTACTTGACGGAGAGGAGGCCTTCAAGGACTGGACTGACACTGACTCCATTTATGGTGCACGGTAAGTACCGGACCCTGAGATCAATCATGGGATTGGAAGAACTGACTTGGACTTAGTGCCCTTGCCGCGGACTGGGAATCGCAAAGGTACGACCCAATGTCCACGTATAAGACCCCTTTGAGCTCTATTAGTCTGTTTGTGCTTCTTGATCTTCTTGGGAATGCAAACCCGCGAGTTCCATCGCATTTCTTGACTACCCACTGGGCATACAAAAGTATGGCCGAACTTGAGAAGCGGATGCAGGACCTTGGCATTCTCGAAGCCAAGCCCAAAACCCCGTTTCTGCCAGACGCAAATAGGGACGTTTCCACCTTTCGTGGTAGCAGAATTGGTGACGACCACGTCCCGTTCATGGTCCGTGGTGTAGACATTTTGCATCTCATCCCTGACCCCTTCCCGTGGCACCTATGGCATAAGATGGATGATGATGGCGAGCACTTGGACCTACCGACTTGTCGGGATTGGTCTAAGATCGTAACAGCGTTCTCGATGGAGTTCTTAGAGTTGGCAAATCATATACCCAAGAGATCGAACGTGGATCGGTTAGGAGATGTTAAGCAGGGAGACCAGAAGAAGCGTTCGGATTTATAGGATAGCCGATCAGGACTTATAGTTTGACCCTTCATGATTTGGATGCGGCGCTCACCACATATCAGATAGCGAGGCTTTTTTGACATATAGATCAATGTTTCAAGTTTAATCTAGTAAATCCTCCTGTGAGTACAATGCAAGCACGTTCCCGTTTCAACTCACGAATCCCCTCGTAGGCCGTTGGCAAAGTCCGGGTCCGATCCCGGAGATCGTCTCCGCAACTACCTTCTCAAACGGCTCAAGCCCGCTTCTGACTCAATGAACCTGCCATATTTTAGATTGATCAAGCGTCTATGTAATAAACTCTTGAGTTTTGTTGTTTTGTTGTTTTCGTTTACAGACAATTGCATCATAAACCATGGGCGCAATTTACACGCGGGAGCAGGCCTCCCAGTTCCTCGCTCGCATTGACATCCCAGCCAAGTATCGGCTCGAGAACAACCCCAAACTCGACTATGCGTTTCTCAAAGCTATTCATATACACATGATCACAGCGGTTCCCTATGAGAACCTAAAGATTCATTACTCTGCTGATCGAGTGGTCAACATTGACCCGCAGAGCATCTTCCAGAAGATTGTATTAGCGGGACGAGGCAGAGGCGGCTATTGCATGGAAAATAGCCTGCTCCTGTTACACATGCTGCGGGCTATTGGATTTCGGGTTTACCCTGTTGGTGTGAGAGTCAGTACTCGAGAGAATGGAGTTCCCACAGGCAACTACCTAGGCTGGTATGACTTCTGCTGTTTCCCCAACTGAATCTTGAAGTACCTAACAAAATGCTGCCAGGGTACACATCGTGAACATTGTCACCCTGGAAGACGGTTCACGCTGGACTCTCGACGTGGGCTTCGGCGGCGATGGCGCCACGGCGCCGATCGAACTCAAGGACGGGGCCACCATCCTCAACATGGGCACGCAGGACGCAAGGCTGGTCCGGGACTTCATGTCGGCGCAGACCGAGCTGGACCCCAGCCGGAAGATGTGGTTCTACCAGTGCCGCAACGGCCCGGACAAGCCCTGGCTTACCTTCTACGCCTTCAGTGATCAGGTGGAGTGGTTGCCGGCGGACTACGATGTGTCCAATTGGTACACTGGATGCAGTCCTGACAGCTTCCAGACGACCATGATGCTGGCGATCAGATTTCTGCGGCGGCCGCGGGAGGGCGGGAGCGGCGAGGATGATCAGGAGGTTTATGGGAAGAGAATGCTTGTGAATGAAGTCATCAAGGAGAACCTCAGAGGAAGGACACAGGTCGTGCAGGAATGCAAAAGTGAGGAAGAGAGGATTAAGGCTCTTCGGGAGTTATTTCTGATTGAATTACAGGAGGAGGAGCAGCAGGCGATCAAAGGTTACAGTTCGGAGATCAAGGCGTGAAGCTGAGTGCCATTGAATCCATTTAGATATACATAGAATAGACTTCGAAAGACTTGGAGAAGCACAAGCAAGAATAATGGTGAGGGGTCAGGTTGTGAGGCCAGCGGCTTACCAAGGACCAAGAGTCGGAAGCTTGATGAAACGGGCATTCTCGATGCATTTCTCTGCCAGGATAAGGCGTAACCTCATTCAGCACCAAACAAGTCTGAGTCTGTCTTCATCGTACAATCCCGAAGTATTGGCGTGTATATTTTCTAGTGGATAGTCAATGTTATAGAGCTTCGAAGCCATTACGAACGCCCAGGCCGGGGAGGCTCTATAGAACCCAGTCTTTAGCGAATCGCAGTCGCCAATTGGTTGATTTCATACAGGTACGCATTCGCGTCCCCACTATGTTATCTCCAATCAGCACGTAACTGGCCGTCCAACCACGTAAACCACAAAGTGCTCCCTCATGAAGCTCACCTAGCTCCAGCTGTAACGCCAGCATTCTGCTTCTTCCATCCACCCCCGCCCAATTTCTCACAATGCGGTTCTCAGTCGCCTCTTCGATTGCTCTCCTTGCTGGCGTCGCCCAAGCCGCTTCGTCATGGACCTTTTCTGATGGAACCGTCGAGCTCTCCCCCAGAGCTGGTGGCTCCCCCCAGGTCCACAAGTTGTCGGACAAGTCGCAGGTCGATTCGGTGGTGTCGCTGGGAGTTGGGGAGAAGATCAAGGTGTCTCTAACGACAAAGGAGGGATCCACGTCAAAGAAGCCGCACCAGGCTTTCCTGATTCTCAAGGAAGCTTCTGGATTGGAGGCCCCATTTCCCTTGACTGTGAAGAACACGGGCAAGGGCACCGTCGAGATTGTTCGTCTATCCTATCATCATTCGTGGAACAAGAGGCTGGCCTGCTAACTCACCATAATTACACAGTCGCACAGAGATCTCCCTATTCAGCTCCTGACTTCCCAAAGTCCACTCCACGCCAGCCTAGTCCTGGGCTCGTTCGGCTCCTCGTCCGCCTCTGTCTCACCACTCTTCGATCTTTCTGTTCAGCTGGACCCTAATGTCCCTAAGCCGACCTACGAGCCTGCCTTGCGTTATGGAAAGCAGCCCTTGATTCACCACACCTTCCGATCCGAGCCCAAGAACCCACCCAAGATTGTGTCCATCTTCTTCGCACTGGCGGTTGTCGCTACCATTCCAGCTTTGTTCGTGGGTGTAAGTAAACCATCCGGAACTTTCCTCTTTCAATCGTTCCGTCATGACTGACTATTCGACCAGTGGCTTCTGCTCGGCGCAAATGTGTCTCACATCGGAGAGGCTCTGAGCAGCGCTCCCATTTCCCACATCGCCTTTTTCGGTTCCATCATTTCTATGGAGGGTGTCTTCTTCCTGTACTACAGCAGCTGGAACCTGTTCGCTACCCTGCCGGCTGCCGGCATTGTCGGCATCGTTGCCTTCCTCAGTGGTACCAAGGCACTGGGCGAGGTTCAGCGCAGACGCCTTGCTGGAAAGAGGTAAATGAGGCAGGCAACCTGAATGGGCCTGAGATGGCTGGGTTTACACCCCAGTACCAAAAGATGTTTACAAAATGAGAGATGTCGATCTCGCATGCGATTAGTGGTAACCCTCTAGCGAATGGGTTAGGGAGCGTCGGACTTAGATTGTCCTCGATGGGCATGTACTGTACAATTATTCATAGAGCGCTCTTTTGCGAATGGATCATGGGAGCATCGAACGCGTAATATATCACGACCGTATGGCGAATGGCTAGTTGCGTCTGTGTGTTTCTGCCTAACAAACACAGCGCATCGAAACGAGATACGAACCACCAAGAAGTTCCGGCGCTATTGCTGTCAACAGGGATTGCGTGTCCCGAAACCTTAGGGAATCATGCCCGGAAGATAAAGGCGTAACACGTAGCACCACAATGAAAACAATTAGTTCTGGGAATCCATATTATATTCTGGCATAGCCAGGTCAAGCTACGACTCAATGCACTAGTGATGATGACGAATGAATGGATCCTGTTCCCGCACGACAAGAGACCAATATAGGCGTCTGAGGGAGCGGGCTTTCTCCCTTTTAGGGGACGGGCAAATGGGTTGGGCCTCGGCATCCTCCACTCAAAGTCATGAGATTCTGGCAAACATATATCGATGCTGCATGTTAGAGGGCTGCCTACATAATAGTTCCCTATCCGCTCTTTCGGCTCGCGGAAGCACTTCAAAATCTTAGTCCCAGTTACGCCACCTTGCATATTCGCAGTCGATAACCAGCGCTTTTGGCTTACGTAGTAACAGCATCCAATCCGCAGGTCATCATGACAGGGTCGTACGTCTACTTTCCTGTCTGATATTATATAAAGACCCTTACTTTTCTGAGGCGCATGCTGATTTACTCTACGATCTATAGAACTGTGAAGTTCCCAACAGCCGAGGAAACTCTCAAGCACCCTGCATATCCAACTACGGTATGGGGACTTGAGCCTCACCAGCATGGTCTCTTCCCGGCTGCGAAGGGCCGCGGCGGGCCTATCAACATCGCATGGGAAGTCCATGGCTCCGGCCCTACCAAGATTGTCGTATGTCTAAAGAAAACCTAGTCGTATTTCCTCAGTGCGCCTCGCAATCCGGTACTAACTTTTGGCCAAATGTATAGTTCATCATGGGCCTGGCTGGTGCTGCGTTCGCATGGCAGTGCCAAACCCTCTACTTTGGTCATGACAAGGGCGGCCAGTACTCCATCCTCGTGCTGGACAACCGAGGCATCGGCGGGAGCGACAAGCCCTTGCTGCGGTACTCGACCAGCGAGATGGCCCTCGACGTGATCGAGATCCTCGACCATCTCGGCTGGACAAAGGACGACCGCCAGGTCCACGTCGCAGGCATCTCGCTCGGAGGGATGATCGCCCAGGAGATCGCCTACAAGATACCCGAGAAGCTCGGCTCGCTCAACCTCCTGTGCACCACGGCCGAGTTCAAGAATGCCACCAACTACGGGGACTACTTCCGGGAGCGCCTCTTCTTCCTCGTCCCGACGTCCGAGGAGGACAACATCCTGGGCACGGCGCGCAAGTGTTTCCCCGAGGAGTGGCTCGCCTCGCCTGACGAGTGCGCCCTGCCCGACCCGAGCACGACGCCCAGGTGCAAGCCTGCGCCTGGCACAGAGGATGGGAAGTATCTCCGCTTCGACTCCAACTACCAGCGGTTCATGGCGCAGAGCCTGCTGAAGCGCCGTGTGCCGGATTTCTTCACCCGCCAGGGATTTGTATGTCAGCTGATGGCTGCGGGATGGCACAGGAAGAGTGAGGAGCAGTTGCGGCAGATCGCGGACACGGTGGGGAGGGACAGAATCATGGTGGTTCATGGAACCATTGACAAGATGATCAGCCCTCCCAACGGCGAACGACTGGTAAAGATCATGGAGCCTACCAAGAGCGTCGTCGAAGAAGGCATGGGCCACGCCCCTCCGCTGGAGAGGGCGCAGTGGCTGAATGAGCTGCTCGAGGAGAGGATCCGCGAATGCGAGAAGTTGTAAGAGCATGCTTTCTATACATATGGGTATACGCACCGAGGATAAATTTTGGGTTTAAGGTGTTGATGGGCTTTCACTACTCTTGGTTCTTTTCCAACATGTCGTCATGATAGAATCTCTGGACATTCCGTATTCAAATTCATATATGTTTGTTATTTATTTGGCTATTTATTTATTTATTCCTGCAATTCAGGAACCTCACAGCATCACTAGACCAACTCCACTTAGGTTTTCAGTGTCGAGTAGGTTCTTGCGGTCCACGCCCCCGGCAATATGGTTGGCACGGTAGTTGAATAAGTAGTAATGTAACTGGCCGTCGCCAGCGCCGAACTTCTGCTGTTCCAGGAACAGCCCGTTGTGCATGAGGGACAGAGCATTAAAGACGTCGAACTTGGCGTTCTTGGCCAAGATGAGCGCATCGTGCATAAGGTCGTTGAGGCGTGTCTTGTGCGCGTCACGGTCATAGGTTTCTGTGAGGGCACTCTCCGATGCGTAGTAGAAGAGGTAGGCAACTCGAATGACTTCGTGTCTCGAGTTCCTGATGACGGAAGATTCAATGCAGTTGAAGGAGAAGAAGTCGGTGATTTTACCATCCTTGTCCTTTTACATTGTCAGTACATCGCCACTAGGTTACTATAACAAAAAGAAGACTCACCTCAACAACGTATGTCCAAATGACCTGATCCGCATCCGATTCGCGCTTGGGCAAGAACCAGTGGAACATTTCCTCCCTCGAGAATTGCGGTGCGAGATCAAACTTGGCTATGTATCGGCCAAAGAGCTCTATCACGGCGTCCATGTCCTTCTCCTCCATAGCTCTTAGGCCCTTGGTTGATGGGCTGTCAGGCAGTGCATACTTGCGGATTTGGTATTGCGGTTTGCTTCCCGCGGGCAGGGGGCTGAAACCACATTCATAGAGCTTCTGCCAGTTGAGGGCGCGGTGGAAGTAGCGACAAGTTGTGACAGGGCGGGGGAGGACGATTCCTGCAGTGTGCACGCCTTGCCAGATGCCGTCGAGGTTGCTAATACGAGTGATCTCCTTGATGAGGACAGGAGCTAGGCGCTTTCCGCGCAGCTTCTTGTGGACACAGAGGAAGTTGACCTCGGAGCAGAGGATCACTTTGTCGCGAACGCGGATGTGCTGAGGAATAGCAGAGATGAAAGCAACGAGCTTGCGGGACTGCGAGGCGCGGACGCCAACATGGTACCTTTTTTGCCATCCTGGAGCCATCATAGCCCTAATATAACTTGATTAGTATGAGCGTTGTTAAAGCGCACGATGATACATACCACCGAAGGAAAGCGGGAGAGTAATTGAAACGGAACATGGCCTCGTCGTCCTCAACATAGTGACCATTCAACAACTCATACACCTCCTTGATCTCCTCGTCGCTCGTCAAATCCACTACCACCCACTCGAATCCAGGGACCAGGGCCGCTGGTTCTTTGGATACGTCCTCGACCGTCTGGATCTTGATAGGGCCGTCTTCGAACTTCTCCTTCTCATCGAACCGCGGTACGGGCTGGGTCTGCCAGAATTTGTAGGCTCCCATGTCCTTGACGTTCTTGCCTCCCGCCGCCAGCCCGGTCATGATCTCCTGCAGCGACATCTTCTTCAGCTCGTTGGCGGCTTGGTCCGCGGACGGGTTCGCAGTCCCAGACGCCTCGGCGATGCCATGCGCCAGCGCCGGGTTCAGGGACAGCAGCTCCTTGAGCCCCTGTGGGGTCAAGCCGCCTATGGCCTTCTTGATGTCGGACTCCTGGTCGCCGGACTTGCCACTCAGGAGCTCCTTTGCCTTCTTCCTCTTGGACTTCTTCTTCTTCTTCCCGGAGCTGGACGAGGCCCCGGGCGCAGCTTCGGCGGTGTCGGGCGCATGGTCGTCTTCCTCCTCGGACTCGGATTCGACGGCGGGCTGCTTGCCCTTGAGCTGGGCGTCCGTCTGTTCGACGACGGGGTCGACCGGCTTGGATTCCTCGGCGGGCGCCATGTTTCACCGGCGTCTGCAGAGTCAGCGAAATTGACTGTTGTTCGCTGAGTGTCGAGCTAAAATAGGTCGACGTTTAAGCCCTGGTGACGTCGGGAGTGAAGATTTACGTATGCGGATGGCGGGGTAGATGCGAAGTGGCCAAAGCTACCGTGGGGTCACGTCCACAGAATTCCGCCTAGGCCACTAAGAACTAAGAGAAGACGCAAGATATTCTAGAATAGATAAAGCATTTATAGTTTAATTTATTTAGGCACCCGTGTAAATGCCTATTTATTGGCTTTTCATCATAGGTATCGATAACGTGTCATTTTAGAATCAATTAGATGCAGCCTGTTCAGAGTGTCTACGTGAAGTGATGGGCAACGTGGCAAAATGCACGACACACGGTTGTCATCCTCAACTTCACAGACGAAAAGCAGGCGGCAGGAGAAGGAGATCTATACTAAATGCATATAGGCGGGTCTAGGCAAATGAGGTGCGACGCGAAGGCAAGTAAGAACATTGAACTAGGAGTCTAGGGATCAATCGTATTACGAGGCATAGGTGGTACCATGGAGCTCAAAGGACCGCATGATTGCGAGTGTAACAGGAGCAGATCCCATAATGTTATTGTGGCCTAAACGCTTTTTTTAGAGTCTGATGTATTTTCATAGAGTGACTTTGGAGTGATCTTACCGCCATAAGGGAAAAGCTCCTGGTGAACCATGATGTTGGGACTGGCTTTCCAGGTCGTTCTGAACGCATTCTGGCTGATTTGATTGGTTCTTTCCTGTTTCCAGGTCTCGAATTCCGCATCATCTGTGATGTTCTCCCTTCCTTGGACCGCAGCCTTGAATAGTTTGTTGTCCTCTGTCCACGGAATGTCTGGGTCATCAAAGGAGTGAACCAAATTGAGCCGGAGTCTAGACTTGGTATTCTGGACGATTGTAGAGAGCCTGTTTGCTGAGTGCCACTTATCAACTACGCATTTGTGCAAAAGCTGCAGCAGTGGTTGCCAGTTGCGGAAGGGTGCGAGCACTGGGACCAGTCCATGGATGCGGTATTCGCTCAGCATACTCGTCAAATCACTGAACCCAGCGACAAGAACGATGCCGGCGAACTCGACGCCCTTCAGCGCGTACCTCTCAGCAACACCGCTGACAACTGCGGTGCCAAGACTTTGTCCCAGGAGTACAATCCGCTCTGGTGGCACACCGGCAACATTGATAGCCCACTCCACGAGTGTTGAGCCATCCTCGATCAAGCCGCTCTCACTGGGGACGCCGGTGGAGTGGCCAAAACCGCGATAATCGACGGCCAATACGTGATAAGATGATGTATCAGTTAGGGTGTGATAGCTGGATGGGCGAAACGCTTGCGCGATATGACCTGCATTCTGTCTCGACAAATCAGCGAATGATCAACCAGCTCCAGCTTCTGATTGGTGGTTTTACCCCGTGAACTGTCGAGGGTTAGCGACGTGTGACGATTTACGAGCCGCAGATCGACATCTCTTACAATACAATACTAATCTAGCCTCAGGATCATGCTTCAGAAGTCGGAACGACTCGGTAGTGGTAACCTCGTCGGCAAAGCCTGGCACCCGAGCAGCCAGGCTAGCCTCGTTCTGCAAATACAGGGGGAGCGGCAGGAGGTGCCAGGCATAGAGCCTCTCCCCGTCACTGGTGTTGAGCTTGAACGGCGTCACTTGATTTCCTACAGGCCATGGTGTGAGCACGGCTAAGTGGTCTATAGTGGGCGCGCAAGGGGGTAGACTGACTGGCGAATCCCCATCTCTCAGGCTCGTTTACATCAGTCCAGGACAGTGTGTTCACCTTATGAGCATAGAGAAAGCTGTGGCGGAGCAAAGGTCAGCTCGCGGCGCAGCATCCCTGGCTTAGTCCCTTGGGGAACGTCCACTCACTGTCTCTGGAAGAAGGGTGTCGCGCCCAGGCCGATGAAGAGGGCATAGAGGCCAAGAGGCGCGGCCACTGCCCAGAGGGAGCTCCGCAGAGTCGGGACGAGTGAGGCGACCATTTCAATTTACGAGGAAGGGAACACAAGGAGCGACGCAGGCGATCACCATGCGCAGCAAAGTCACATCCAGAGACACTGCGAGGTTGGGCGATGTGTCAGCCAACAGCAAATAAGAGCAAGCTAACAGAGCTTGTGGCGGCTCAGCTCAGCGCAGAGCACGTGCCGATTAGTGATCGTGACCTCGCGCATCGCCAGAGCTGGGCTATTCTCGGCTGGGGGTGATGCTCGCTGCGATGGCTCAATTGATGGAGCCTTGGAGCTACGGGCCACCAATATATCACGGACCTGGACCTCACCACAGGAACTGTACAAAACTATGAGCCTGGGCCCATGGAGACTTGCCAGGACAGCTTTTGGGACCAAATAATAACAACGAGTTGGCTGGTTTCACCGATCCCAGGCCATGTTAGTGGCCTGGGCTCCGCCTTTCCAACGTCCAGGCCAATCAGAGGCCCTTGTGCACCAAGGTCGCTACAGCGCGCGCGTCGACGAACCAAGACGGATGTTCTTCATTCGACAGCTTCCAATGCGCCATCATCCCTACTCCTCCTCCATCGAGCCTCTGCACGCTCCATCCAGGTAGGGCCAGTCACTCTCTGTCAGCAATTTGTGCATAAGGGCTTTTGGCTCTGCTGTCCCAATCCGCGTGGTTGTCGGCCCACCTCGACCGTATCCTGTATGGCTCTGGCACCAACCTAGGACGACTTATGATGACCACCTCGTCGCCCGCTCTCTGACGTTCTTTCTGGTCTGGTGTGAGAGGTGGCCAGCTCCTTCTGGCACCATGGAGAAGAAGAGAAAGCTGCCGCCCCGGGCAGCAGCTCGTGTTGAGAGTGCTGCCAAGCGAAGGCAGTCGACGCCTCGATCAGAAACACCGGCTTCTGTACAACCGCCTGTCGAGGAGCCGGTTCCCTCACAACCACCGCCGACGCCTCCGCCGTCGCTACCCAACTCCGTCCAGCCTGGCAAGCCACTGCCGACCGTGGAGGATGCGCAAAGCGACGACCTGTCTTCTAAGGAGTATCAGTCAGTAGGCGAGAGGTAAGTTGGAAGCTAATGATGGCCGCCTCTTGGGACCTTGAGACTGAGCTAACATTTTTCTTCCGCCAGTGGTGTGCTCACGGAATCGCTATCTCGGTCACGGCAGAAATGGACCCACGAAGGACTTTTCGAGAAATACTGGACAAAACCACACAAGCGTAAAGGTGTGGTCCACGAAGATCCTAAGAATCCGCCAAAAGACAGCATGACCAAGGTCGGGGTGGTCACGATTACAATTGAACCGCATGTTGTGGAGGCAACAATGTACGTTGTGAAGGATCCTAAGCCTCGTTTACCGCAGAACCAGCCGCAGCCGCAGCAGCAACCGCTGCCGCCAAACCGACCTATCATTCAGTATGGCCCTCCAAATGGGACGATGCCTTCACCCAAACCCGGAGCAGCATCCCCCGCCCCGGAATCTGCGGCTGCCAGACCTGTGGCTTCACCAGCGAACCAAAATGCAGCACCGATATCGCCGGCGCCTTCAAACAGTCACGTTCAGGTGCCAGCGAAGCCGACGAACCCTGCTGCTCCCCCGACACCAACAACCAACAATAACCCAGTACCACCACCAGCAGGGTCTAGCTACCCCCCTAGACCGCAACCTCCGCCTGCAACTCCTGCAAAAACCGCACCGCCAGGACAGCCAACGCCGACTGTTGGCCCAGTCGCAACACCATCATACCCCCCTAGGACATCGACACACACAACCCCTGGCCAGGCAATGGCTCCGCCAGCTGCAACACCAATGGCGGCGCCGCGGCCCCCAACCGCTGCACATCCCGCACCGGTGCCGTCTCCTGGGCTGAATAAGCCACCAACAGCGCCAGCTCCTGCAGCAAAACCTGCAGCCAATGACCCCGTGATTGCTTTGCTGGCGCAAAAAGCTTCAGGGGATGTTGAACTCCGGGACTTAATGAAGAGAGTGGCTGTCGGACAGGCAAAGGAAGGGGAGCTTGCCCATTTCCAGAAGATCATTGATCAGTTGAATGCTGAATATAAAAGAAATGGTGGCCAGCAGGGACCCTCTGCCGATCGGTTACTTGTCGATGGAAGAACCGTCAAATATTTTGCAGAGGAAGTACGAGCTATCCTTGATATTGTTCTAGCCTCCAATCCCTCGCAGAAGTCTGTGGATTTAAGGCCACCACCTCGCAGTGACCCCCTCGTCGTCTTGCTTGTGAAGGAAGCTTTGGACATTGACAAGACAAGAGATATCATCAGGAGGATTGCCGAAGGGCGACCTGGTTACACTGATTCAACAGACCTGAGGGACATATTGGATAGATTACATAAAAGCATGAAGGTCTTGCCCAAGATCCCTCCTGCGACGCCACAAGCGAGGCAACCAGCTCCAGCAGCTACTCCAAATGGCTTGACCCCAAACGGCGGCCAGGCCCGCGGTCTGACCGCCCATTCAGCAGCACATCCCAACGCCCAAACCTTGCGGTCCAAAGGGCCCGCGCCTGCTCCAAAGCCAGACATTTCCGCAGTTTTATTCGACTTTGGTACGGGAGATCGGTACCGTTTCCCCAAATTCAGCATATTAGAGTACCTGCCTACCTCACCCGGCCAGCAGGTCATCGCCTCATTCCTCATTGTTCGCAAGGGCAGTATCTCAGAGTATGGAAGCGACCCAGATCTTGACTTCTATCAACCTATCACCGTACGACTATATGCGAGCACAGGGAGGCATTTGGAAAACCTAGCCCGCGTGGTGGCTCCCCAGGAGGAGGTTCGGCGGTACATGGATGATGTAATGGACAACATGACGCGTGCCGAGTATGTTTTGCTCGCCATGCGTCTCCCTCACGCACCTAAGGACGGCGATAAGGAGCTCAACGGCAACCACAGCAATGAGGAGTCCAAGACAGCTAGATCCACCCCGCAGGCTGCGGATACCGATCAGGAGCAGTCCGTAGGGTCGGACAAACCCTCGGTGCTGTGGGCTCCCGCGGCCCCCTCAAAGAAGGGTTCGGCCTCGCGGCGCCTTGGCAAGTACCGTGATCACGATGATGAAGCCCAGCTGCAGTATCAAAAGTTGATTGGCTCCGTGGCGGCGAAGGAGACTGAGGCTGAGTAGGTGACGCATCGCAGATTCATTTTGTCGGGACTGTTGAGCGGGAAAAAAAACTGTAATTTATACTAGGGTTTCATTTTACGACGGATCATTGTTTCATGGAGCGAGGACACGCACAAGATCTTTGGATTATCACAGAAGAACATCATCGTTATGGAGTAGGGAAGGTATGGCGCCATTATCCTCAGGGCGGCTTGAATGCATGAGCGATGGTTTAGTTCATTTATACGAATTCGCAATTACTCTCCGGGATTGCCATATTTCCCTCGCCACTGAAGGCCATTTAACAGTCCCCTTGAAGTGATCGGTACCTACGGCCGGCGGACTGAGGTTTGTTTCGGTCTACACACTACGAGCCCCGTGGCCGTCGTGCAACGATTCAGCCAGAACACACGAACGGGTAGCCGGTGCGTCAAATTCCCAAGCTGGAGGATCTTTCCAGACAAAATTCTATCACCTCATCAGTCCTGACGTTGTGTTCCCCATGAGTGACCCGGGCAACGCGCCGCCAGCATTCCAGCCTGTGGACAGGCGAGCCTTGCCCCCTAACCCTCCCTTGAAGGGCTCAGGAAAGATATACTTGGGGTCGGCGGCATCCCGGCTTTTATGCAAAAGAAAAATGAGGCTTGCATAGGTAGGCCCGCGGAACAATCCCTGACCGGGCACCATGACGCAGCTACCAAACTTTTCGAGGAAGACCTCCGGGTCGTCCGCCTCGCTCAAGACGCTCTGCGACGCCTCCTCGGCGCAGCAGTCCTGGGGCGACTCGGAGAAGGGCCTGTCGGAGCTCGAGGACGAGATACGGGCCATCAAGCAGGCGGAGCGGGCGTCGACGTCGACGGGCTCCTCGCTGTCCGACTGGACCACGCTCCTGGGCGGGTTCATGTCCCTGGTGGCGACGGGGGGCATAGGCAACGCCACGGGTCTTGTGCAGACGTACTGGGAGAACAACCAGCTGAGGGACTTCTCGTCCCGCGACATTGGATGGATTGCTGGCACGAACATCTGCCTGTCGCTCTTCCTGCCCGTGCTGTCTGGGCCGGTTTACGATCGGTATGGCCCCCTGTGGTTGATGATCGGGGGCAGTGCGTCGTTTGTGGTGGGTGTCTTTGTCATGAGTTTTCTCAACAACCCGGAGTTGCCCCAGATGACTTATGGGTTGCTTCTTCTTACCTGGGGTATCATGGGCGGGGCGGGCAATGGGCTCGTAGCCACGGCTGTTTCGGGAGCTGTCTGTCAGCGGTTTGATAAGAGGAGGGGCCTGGCGAATGGGATTGCTTCGGGAGGCAACTCCGTCGGGGGTGTTGTGTGGCCGATGATGCTCCGGGAGACACTGAACCGTTGGGGATGGCAGTGGGCTGTCAGGCTCGTGGGAGGAATTGCATTGGTGTTGGTCGCTCTGGGCTGTGTATTGGTCAGACCGCCGCCCCAGATGGTGGTGACAGCCAAGAGGGAGGCGGAGATCAAGAAAGCGGAGGGGAGGAAAGAGGCCAAGACCAAGGTCTTGAAGAGGTGCGTCGTTGAGGGTGCCCAGTGTTTTAAGAAAGCCGACTTTGTCTGGATGACGGCAAGTCTCGCCATCTTCCAGTTTACCGTGATGGGCGTGGCGGGGACTCTCCCGTCGTGGGGGGAAGGCCAGGGTTTTGACCAGACATCCCTATTCAACCTCGTGGCGGTGATGAATGCGTGAGTCGCCTCCTGTTCAGTTATGTACTGCCCGTGAGGATGTTGCTGATATATCAGATAGCGCGGCAGCAATTGGGCGAATAGCAGTTGGTGCTCTGTCCGACACCATTGGCCGCTTTAACACATGTGTGTCCATCATGACACTCTCAGTTATTGTCATGTTCGGATTATTCTTCAACGTGGGAGGCATGATCTGGAAGTTTTATGTTTTCGCGGCGTTCTGGGGCTTTGTTTATGGCGCGGTCCTTATGATGATATCCGTGCTTGTTCGAGAGTGAGTTTCCCGCACCTATAGCCAACTTTTAGGAGCTGACGCGTTCCCGTTCTAAAGGCAGTGCAATCACGAAGAGTTTGGGCGGTATCTCAGCGCCTGTCATGTTGCCCTGAGCATTGCGTAAGTTATCCATAACCTCATATCGGTTCATCTAGCGATGCCTAACCAAACCTTCTTCAGTGGCCTGGTGTGTGTGCCTCTCAGTGCTCAGATGCTGGCCTCTTTCGGCCCCCAGATGGATGTCATATTCTTCGGAATTCTCTGCACCGTCAGTTTGCTTTTCATGATACTCACCAGATGGGCCTTCCTGGATTACAAGTGGAGCTGGACCTCAAAGGTTTAGGGACGCTGATCTGATGAATACCACACAACCAACACCATGAGAAATGATTAGACTAAACAGTATTATCTCCCCGGTAGATCCCGGGTGTGCGGGTTGCGCAAGCAAGAAGGGGAAGAAGACACTTGGGCCATGATGTATGACTATGTTCACAATGTGCATTCGTCCTGTTTGTCCTTTTTACTCTTTCCTTTCCTTTACACATTCTTCTCATTGGCATATACCATCACATACAGCTATTTCTTTCATTCTATTTTCGTGGGCTTTGGGTGGGTTGGGGCAGGGGTTGAAGATATATCTGTTATTTCGGCCGATTACACCTTTCACTGATGGCCTTATCTCAATTTCTCTGGAGGAGACCGAGGCAGAAGGCTACTCCGTGGTCTGTAAAAACCAATGGCGATGTGAGATCAGCATTACGCCAGTGTGTACACATATATTAAGGTAGATCAATACCAAAGCATCATGTTGTTATACCTTGCTTTCCCCAGGCGAGTGACATAAAACATGGCACAAGTCAAGTGCCTCATTTTCTTATCAACAATACTAAATATGATAATGAGCATATTGATAACCTACAATATTTAGCTTGATTTTGTATTTAGTAATAAATAACTGTGTTGATATTGTGTTGAAATTCAACACTGGAGGTTCTGGGTGTGTCATATTTTATGTCAGTCGCTTGGTTCCCTCGCTATGTAGAGATCTGAAAGGTAGAAGTCACGTCCGTAGGCTTTGCCCAACATAGGTCAGGTAGGCTATATGGAAGCATACAAGCCAAGGTGCCAAACGAACTAAGCTGCTAGACTAGCGGTTTGCGGTTTCAAGCTGCCAGTTAGCTGCAGAGGAGGATTGACTTCGTGTCGTTGAGCTCTCAATGCTCGAATCTATCAAACGAAAACACAATCGATTGACATTCGTGAGGGTTCAAATAGTGCCGATAGTGAGGAATTGCCTCATGCGAGAAAGAGAAGGGCCGGAACCGGTCTGTTGGATGATCAAGTCAATGCTTGATAAAGGCTGGCATTCTTACTAAGATGGATGATGTCGACAGGATCCTGATGCCGTATGAGGCCAGGCAGCGCCTGAACTCTGATGGGATGGTGTCGTCAGTCCATGTACTGCCTGTTGCTCTCAAAGTACGCAGTACCTGAAGCGATGGCCAGCTGTACTTTGGAGCGACCTCCCGGTTATATGCGTTCCCCACTCTATCTTCAGCAGAGCCCCAGAATTGCCAATATGGTAGGGCAGATCCACGCAGGTAGCCAATCCAGAGGCAGACAGCGTCAGCATCCCTTGCGCTGCTTGTACTGGGCAGGTAGCCTCTAGTGCAGCTGCCCCAGTCAGGTACGAGCCCAGTACAAGCCCAAAGTCCTCTTGCAGGGGTCTTTGGTACAGTAACCAGCCCCCGACTCCAAGAGCTGTCTGGCTCAATCATACCGCCTCTGAGAGTGAAACGACTTTATTGTTGCCTGGTAGGAGCATGTCTGTCAAGCCAGGGAATTAACTGCTTGGCTTTATCCTCCCATACCTATCGAATCGCCATTGATTGATGTGATCGTCCTTTATTTGCTCATCATGGGCCAAGCGATCTCGCAGGAGCCACCGTACCGTCGGTCGCAGGAAGAGTTGACGCATGAACTTGTGAGAGCTCAACGCAAAAGGGTTGCAGCTATTTATCGGTGTTTCTGACCTGGATGAACAGGCAAATAAGTTCAAAAACAAGTGCTTCAGCTCACTGGAATTCTACTCGCTGCAAGATGTGTTCAAGAGCCTCTCCGATCACCAGGACGCGATTCACTACCTGAAGGAGGACACCGTTGCTCGATTCCTCGAGATACCAGATATTCTGGGTGCCTCACCGGTTATTTTCCAGATGATATCCTTTATTGGCGCTTTTCCGTTTCTGCAGAATGCGCCCGTCGTGCTGGAGCTCCCCCAGCTAATCATGGTTGTCGTCATCCTAACCGAGCGCTATCGAAAGGTCCTCGCAAAGGGGAGTGCCGATCGCACAAAGCTGCTCTTCAGAAGTCTGGCCGTCCATGATCGAAAACACTCCATGTCTATTCCCTCATCTCCAGTGAATCCAGCCTCGCAAACTCCTCGCGCCCACCCTGGTGCCTTCGCCATTGACGTGGCCACTGGCGATGACGGCAATGACGAGGACCTTTTTGGTGATGACGAGGATGATGATCTCGTCCTCACGGCATTTGAACTTTTAGATATTAATGATGCTGTGAAGAAAGGCGATGCCCCAAGCTTCCTCGGTGCAATGATACCCACCGACAATTTTAGGAAATTGCTGATGCTGCTGCTACTGACTGCTCCTTTAGATGCCCAAGAGAGCTTGTCACAATACTCGAGCCGCATCGCCGGCGATGGAATTGATGATCTTCGTTCAACAGCCGAATGCGTCCTTGCTTCGTTTGTTGATGTTGAGCAGTCTCCTGGGATCAAATACATACATTTCAAAACTGTAATAACCGAACTGCTCCCCAATCTTTTTAAAGGTTTCGACGGCTTGTTTGAACACTTTTTGTTCTCCAAGAATCTGGACTTTTCAAAGCACGTCAAGGGCGCTAGTCAGCCGGCGGATGATACCACTGCAATGGTTCAACCGCTCTTTACGGACACAGCCGAGATCCTGAACGATCACACGCTGGCTCAGCTATCCTTCTTTCTTCCAGGGTCTTCGCTCTTCCGCCGAGTCAGAATGCTTTACTCCGGTAGCGAGTCCGGCTTCTCCATGGGAAGCTTTGAGACAAAAGTTTTCAATTGGCGGGCCCCGACTATTCTTCTTGTGAGAGGTACCCGTCTAGGGGATGTTCCGGACGGTGGGCAGGAGGCTTCGTTTGCCGACTCTTTACCTCCCAAACGGTTCCGTAATGGGAGCAAATCCGACCAGCTCACATTTGGTGTCTATGTGCGGGAGCCCTGGAGACACACCCACCGAGAGTGCTTTGGCGACTCAGACACCATCCTGTTCCAGCTCGAACCTGTTCACGATGTGTTCCCAGCATCAACTATTAACAAAGATTATGTCGCATTTATGAAGCCTCCGGGGAATGAAACTTCACTTTCCTTTGGTATCCCGGTCCCCAAACCTTCAAAGGCCAGCCGGAGAGGTGGCGTCAAATCACTGGGTCCGGTTTCTCTCTACTTCAATGATTCATTTGAATTTGGTGTCTTCAACCATGACTACCAATCTAGAGGCGGCGCCTTTCACAACAGCAAAATACGCAAGTACGATTTCCAGGATCGTTTCCAGATTGATAGTCTCGAAGTGTGGGGCTGTGGTGGCGATGCTGAAGCCAAAGCCCAGGCTGAAAGATGGGCATGGGAAGCAAGGGAAGCTGAAGCTCGCCGTAGAGTCAACCTTGGAACGGGTGACATCGAGGCGGACAGAGCCGTATTGGAGATGGCAGGCATTATTGGGGGAAATCGGAGCGGTGGCTCCATGGGTTGATTTAGCCTTTCTATTCCCAAGTTGAAAGAGCTCAAATGGTATCAACATCAAAGCGGTTTGAATTTGGCGTTAGGGTCTGGAGCAGGCGCATTGAACTTGCCAAGTGTGCTTCGGCACCGACTTATTCTCTCTGGATACATAAGATTGGCTGATATTCTAGCCTCATGTTTTGTACAATACATGGATATAAGAGTGGAAATTTTACAGTATTCAATGACAGTCCTGGTCTCACATGGTTGATTTTACATCTTTTTACGGTGGCTCAACCGTGACTTACTTTCCTTCACCGTCGTCGCCCTTCTTGTCCTTCTTTTGTGACGAGAGCACCTCGCCCAGGGCACCTAATGAGCTCTTGGGGTTCTCTCTCTTGTGCTTCTTCTCCGAGGCCTCGAGGTCGGAATTCGCTACTTCAGCCTCAGCCTCAGCGGCCTTCTTCTGCCCCGACGGCCAAAGACCCATTCTTCCTAGAATGCCTCCCGTGCCACCCTCAGCCTTAGGCGAGGACTCATCCTTTCCAGCACTTGCGACCTTGAGCTTCTCATGAAGCTGCGCCTTGAATGCCTTCTCTTCCTCGTCTCGAACCTCGAGCTCGCGGATCCACTTCTGGCGCTTCTCCTCAGCGTCGCGCTGCTCCTGCAGCTTTCGTAGCTCGGCAGACTGGGCGCGGTCCTTGCTGTAGTACATGCTGCCGGCGACCATTGCGACGACGGTGAATCCCTGGGCGAGGACACGGGCTCGGAACATGCGGTTGGCCTGCTGCGAGTCGCCCTTTCGAAGGGCGCGGTAGGCGCTCACGAAGGCATAGACGGTAAGACCGATACCTGGGGAAAGGAATACGTCAGTAAAGAGCATGGCGGCGGGATGGGCGGCGGGGAAGGAGAGAATGAAGCATACCCAATGGCACCAGAGGCTCTTCCTTGATCTTTCTGACGACCTTGACGAGCGGCTTCTCGTTCATGACCCTGTGTTCTGTCTTAGTGGGGGTGGAAACGTCGGCGATCAAGAGTGGCATCATTACTGGTTATCGTCGAACGACGAGGGCATGCCGCCCGGCATAACGGGTGGTCTGTCGGCCATTTCTGGGGAATCGTGCAGATGGCGGGATCTTGAGGCTTCGTTGATTGACTAGAGACGGCAAACCGCTGCGCTCGGGAGGAAGAGGGTTCGAATTGATCGGAGTTGTTCAGAAGTAAAAACGCAGCATGTGCATCATGGATTCTCGATTGGCGCTGGTAAACTAGGGAAGTGGGAGCTAATGCGTGATCCATGTCCCATAAGTTGGAGGCTCCAGGTGACTGCTAGCAGCCCACCAGGTGCTAGATCCCCACAAATAGAACTGGAACTCCGAACATGGGCCCTGAGCGGACTTGCGGATCGATTTGATTGGGCCTGCACGACGCATCCTCCACAGGGCAGGCGCGATCCAGTAAGCAAGCACCTCCCAAGGGTAGCTTGGCGCATTGACCTGCCGCAAGACACTTTAAGCTCCAGCTCAGCTTCTTTCTCCAAAACAACATGATATCTTCGCGGCCAGCTT